TCATTTTAACGCTATTATAGGAATTAGCAATATTAAAATAGGAGTACATGTCGAAGCTTTTGCACAGATGCTTTATCAAATTCAGAATTATCCATAATGCATAATTTCTTTATATAATAGTTAGAAGTCCTCTGAAATATTTCAAGAGCCAAATCATAGTCTTATTTGTGCTGAACTTTCTAATTTAAGACCTATTGATTTACCAACAGCAGTAAAAGGGCATCGGGAATGAGATAAAATTGCTAATTGTTATGCTCTTGATGTATCTCCAGCAGTCGAAACATATATTGAGGCTGAATACTAGAGACGCTTATCAGCAAAGTACTTTCCTGAAATTCTTTGCGGTCTTGTTTTTAGTATGGGAGCTTCACTTGAAATTATTTCTACAGAAGGTACTATAGCCGATAGGAAATGGTTTCTAACATTATTAAGGTGATTGAAGAAAATATCAAAGGCTCCGATACAGAATTAATAGTCAACGCACCTGATATCACCCTGGATGATACTGAAGATTTAAACAAATTTCCACCCGCTCGTTCACTGATAATATGATATTGCAATGACACTATTTATGGAGAATATACGTTTCAGGAGATATTAGAGGTAAGAATGATTATCGGGACTGGGGCATGGATGATGCCAAATGGATTAATCTATGCAATATCAGTTTTGTAAAAAAATTTAATAATCCTGAACCTTTACGACACTTTAGAAGACTGGCATATTTCCAAAGACAAGGTTCAGATGCAATAAAAGTTTTAGAAGGGTTAAAAACTAAAGAAACTATACAGTGGGAGGAATCGCATAATTCCTCAGATCCATCTTCAATTGATTTATGAAAGGCATATTTGTTTAAACAGTGGAAGGCAATATAAGAACATTTTCAAATACTAGGCTTTACTGGCATTGATGATATACGTACTCTTTCAAGTAATATTATTTCAGAAGCGTTTGCTCAATCGTGTGAAAGATTTATAGAAATCTGAAATCAATCCTTATTGCTCTTTGGATTTAAATCTCGTGCAAAAGAAACATCAGATCTTAAATCAGCTATAAAAGCAATTAATGCAATTGCTGGTAATTAGTGTGGATATACTGTTAAAAGTGATAAAAAAAGAATAGGGTCTAAAGGACAACAAGTTTGGCAATATTCATATCAAATTAATCGCCGGCCATATAATGGTACTGGTTTTGGAGATAAAAGCACTCCAGAGCTTCCACCATACAGGCCGAAAACAGATAATGATATTCAGGAACTCTTTGACTCTATAGGATAGGAAAAATAATACTTTTGCCAGATTATTATTCAGTTAGGTGTCTCGATTATATCTGATTCCATTTTAACTTTTTTACCTTCACGCTAGGCATTTTTTTATGTGTGCTACAGATTCCAGTATCAGAATATGTTAACTCATTACAGATAGGACATATTATTCTAGGAAGGGCATTAAAATGTCTGGAACACCCTAAATCACTTATGCACCCTTTCCCACACATTGAACCATCTTTTTTGATGTATTGGCAGATAAAACGACCTATACGAGGTAATTTTAATATTAATAATCTTAAAATTTCACTTTCAATTTTATTATAGATATTCAAAATTCCTTTGCTTTAGCGGGTCAGCTTAGTAACCACGTTTTCGGCCAAAGTTACAAAATCTACTCACTCTTTTTGCGACTCTCTAGCCAGTTTTTTTTATATATCATACGAAAGCCAGTCTGAGAACGGATTGGCCCATTACAGGATGCGCACATTTTATTTGGTGAAGACTTATAGTGTTTGATACACCTGCCCTCGCAAAAGTATCTTTTTCCGCAGATAGGCCCATTATCTTTTTTATTTAGGCAAGGCCAAGTTGGGTAATTCTCGTCCTCTAAATCAGATATGTATTCACCAAAGGGACCAAAGGGCATAGTACTTCTTTCTGGAAAAGTTTTTAAGATTAATATACATTAAACTTATCTTTATTATAGATATTTAAAAATGTGTTATGCCGGTCTAGCATAAGCTATATCATTTTTTTTTTCACTCCTTTAATCTAGTCAAAAGCTGTCTTTGATATTTTTCCTTTCTGAAGAAGCATGGCTCTGAGGAAATTTTTCGAATTGAACTTTTCTATACGTAATATAAAATTAGTACATTTTAATAGTCTTGACTATACTGTCATAAAAACAATATGACAAAAATAGCTACAGATTTCATAAAATACCATAAATGGACCTTTGAAACTCCATCATTCGAATCAGCTCAATACATAGAGGAAATTAGCAAAAGTTTAAAGGATGATCGCAAGGTAAGATCTAATGCTAAAATACGCTTTCAGGTATAAGAGCTTACTAAGGAATAGGTAGAAGTTCTTATTCCTATTCGGCCTACTGAAAAGCGTGAAGAAGGCAGGGATACTATTAATAAAATTGCCCAAGAAATTGTGGAAAATGATTATCAGTCTGAGAAAATAAAACAAATTTCATATGATTTGGGTAGTTCTGCATCTAATCCAGTCGCAGGGGGTTCTCGGCTTACTTTATTGTAAAAAAAGTTACGGAATCGTGAAGCTGATTATCTCAAAAAAGAAGCAACGAAAATTCCTCATATTACTACTGAATCGAATAAAATTCAGGTACGACGGCTTGTACTTAACAAATTTGAAGATATCAATTGGCCTGAATACTTCTTCTTAGAACCAGTTCAGGAAAGACTCGAGAAATGTGATTTTTCCTTATCGCCTTCTAAGGAAGATTTGGTTGACATAATGATAATGTTATGCATGCGACTGGCAGATGTTGCTGGTCTTTATATTGATAGATATGAAGCATCGGACGAGATCTGGTATGATTCTGACTATTCCTGGTATTGTATTGGTTATTCTAAAACTAAAGAAACAGGAGTAGGGGAACCCCGACCTTTTCTCTCAATGGAAAAGGATCCAATACGAGCAAAAGAGTTTCTTACTTAGATCCAAAAAGCAATACCAGAAAAATTTCCCTTCTTACGAAAAAACAAAAGCGATATAGTTAATGTAAATCCAATTAATCTAATTCTAGCTAAACATGGAATTACTTCGAATAAATTAAGGAAGATAGGAGCAGATCATGCTAGCAGGATCTATGGAAATAGAAATGATTTTCACCGCCAATATTTACAAAAGTTGGCTTGTAGACAAGTAGTAGGTCATCATAAATTAGTAGAAAATTATAGCGTAATGAATGATCTACCTTCTTGCAATTGTTCGAAGGCATCCCTAAAGAACCAGGTAAAGATAAAAGAAAAAGTGGATTAATCCTGATAAT